ATGTTCCGCACGCGAGTGCAATAGCCCACTTGTTGACAAGTGTTCCTTATCCTACAGACTGTCTCAGTGTGCATGCTTTCGCTCCTTTTTTTTTGTTTCCGGCAGTGACATCTACTTACGGTTTCAACTGGCAGAGGACTCTTTGTAGGAGAAGAGCAGTAGAGGTTTTGCTGACGGGCTTTCGTCACTGAAGGAAGAAGCAGAGGAATATTACCGAGGATTTGCCGATTTTTCATATGCGTTCTTTTTTCGGCTCTGTAGGTTCATGCACCAGGTCGATGACATTGTCACTGCCGAGCAGATTACAAGGCGGCGTATCATGCTAGGTACCCAAGTGCTTCAATTTTAAGATTTTTTACCAGTTTTATATTCATATTAAACTACTTTACTTCTTCACAATGAAGGAAGCGAGAATAATTGGGCTTTTTTTTTACGGCAGCGATTTTAAATTTGTTCCAGGAAGTGCCTCACATAGCTTATGTGCTGGCAACCTCTACCGCTCCTTCATAACGCCTTGCAGTTAAAATCAAGTTAAGTATTTTATTTTTGACAGTACTGGCTTGCTATCAGTCGTAATATATTTGCAACGTATTTAAGGATCCACCTCTTTACTTGTTCTGTTTGTTATTTGCATTGTAGTGAAAAAAAAAACCCCGTCCAGTTTTTGACGCCGCTACCGCTTTTAGTCCAGTGTTCACTTTAGAGCATTTATTTTTATTTGGACAAATATATAGTCGGTGTACGAATTTCCCGGGCAAGACATGCTCCAAAGTGTCCACTGGTGGCGCCGTGTATGGGCGCGTCGACTGGTTCGCCCGCGAGGACTGTGCGTTACCCACTTCAAAGGCTTATTCACAATAGCAATCGACGCTCGCTAAATGTGCTAAAAAAAGAAAAACAGGCGTAATTGTACAGTAGAAAACTATAGACTGCAACGCAGAATGCCTGGGTTCCGCTCCGACATCGGCGAAGTCTGTAAAGGTTTATTCTGAATTTAATTCTCGGCTACCAACGTGATCTTTCATTGAAGTTATATCCATGACGAAAACGACTTTCTTTAGTTCTTAATGAAAAAGGTTGAACCTGTTCAGTGAAACAAAGAACTGCTAAAGAACAAAAAAAGAACTGTGGTGGGGAGAAGTGAGCTTCCACAAAAATGTGCAAAAATACGCGAACATTTTTTTTATTCAGATACCCTAAAGGCCCCGAAGGGCATTACATAGGGGGGGGGGGAGAACAATGTGTTGAGTACATTTCAATTCAAGAGCAAACACAGTCAAGAGCGGGCATGTAACAGAAAACATAGAAACGCAAACAAACAAAAATAAATGGAAAAGAAATACAAAGCAAGCGCACATAGTACATGGTTCATGGCACTGATAATAAAAATCGCTTCAAGTGGCTTACAAACAAATCGTGATTATGAATTGTGGCAATATCTTCTGGTAATCGATTCCAATGAAAGATGGCCAAGAACAATGGGGATTGACGAAGATTAGTACGGGCAAACAAAGCAGGACTTTGAAAGGGTGATCTAGACGCGGAAAAATGCGATGGGCAGGTTTGATATGCGATGCAGCAAATGACGACGCACTATAATAGTGCCGGTGGAAGTGACATAGTAATGCTAGTATTCTTCGTTTTTCCAGGGAGGGCAGCTGTAGAGATTCTTTAATGGCAGTTATGCTAGATGTGCGGGAATAGTTCTTAGTAATAAGACGTGCTGCTTTATTTTGCAAGGCCTCCAGTCTGTTTGTTAAGTATGCCTGGTTTGGGTTCCAAATAATAGACGCGTAGTCGAGTTTGGATCGAACTAATGAAGTATAAGCTAAAAGTTTAGTTGACTGACTAGCTAAATACAAATTTTGTCTGATGAAACCGAGTGTTTTACTTGCCTTGGAAATTATAGCATCAATGTGTTCATTCCACGTAAGGTTGGACGACAAATAGACACCCAGATATTTTAGCGTAGAAACGTTTTCGATAGCTGTGTTATTAATAGAATACAAATTTAGGTGCATGTTAGTAAACCTAGTAAATGTCGTAGCTTTTGTTTTGAAAGCGTTTATTTGCATTTGCCAATCCTCGCACCAGTTAACAATATTATCCAGGTCGGTCTGTAAAGTATTAGAATCTTCAGAGCTGTTAATTTTTCTGTAAATTGCGCAATCGTCGGCGAATAACCGAACGTTAGAACTTAAGTTATTGCCTACGTCATTAATGTCAACCAAAAATAAAATTGGTCCCAGTACAGAGCCCTGAGGCACTCCTGATTTGACTTCGGTTAAGGGGGAATTGTGGTCATTTACGGAAACGTATTGATAGCGCTTGGTTAAAAATGCTGCAATCCAATTGAGTACGCTGCTGTTTATGTTAAGCCGGGCAAGTTTCATCATTAGGCGTTTATGGGGTACTTTATCAAATGCTTTTGCAAAGCCGATATATATGGCATGAATTTGAGATGAGTCATGAACGACCTGATGTAGGTCGGTTACAAGCTCAAATAATTGGGTTTCACACGAACGCCCTCGAAGAAATCCATGCTGATGAATATAAAAAAAGTTGTGCTTTGTAAGATACGTCATAACGTCTGATGATATATGTTCCAGAATTTTGCATGGTATGCTTGTTAAGGAGATCGGTCTATAATTTGAAAGTTCTGATCGGTTGCGAGATTTAAATACGGGAACGACGCTTGCGATTTTCCAGTCATCCGGTATGATACCGGTGTCGAGTGACTGTTGAAAAATGGCGGCTAAGATACAAGCTATAATTGGTTTAGTCATTTTGAGCAGTTTTGGACAAATGCCATCGGGTCCTGGGGCGGAATTATTCGAAAGTTGATCAATGGCACATTCAATTCCTTCCAGTGTGATGGTAATGCCACTCATAAAAGTCAAAATAGAAGCTGGTTGAAGTTCAAGTGGTAGTGGGCTTTCATCGGTGAAAACAGAGCTAAAAAAAGAGTTAAGTTCGGTTGCAACCTCGGATGGTGAAAGTAATTCGCCTTCTTTGACTATATCTATACTCACTTGTGAGTTCCGTTTGGGATTGATTATATTCCAGAATTTTTTTGTATAATTTTTTAAAATGCTGACAATATCATTATAGAATTTTTCTTTGGAATCTTGAATTAAAGATTTGCAGTTTTTTGATGCTTCGCGATAGCGTTCCCAAAACACCATCCGAGTTAGAGGACTTGGCTTTTGAGTACGAGCGTTTCTTCTTATTTATTGCTCTTTTTACGTGTGACGTGAACCATGCGTTTTGAGCTGATGAAACGATTTCGACCGACCTTGGGGATGTGCTTATGCTTCAGTTCGACTAGTTTATTTTTTGACACAGATCCAGTTATCATTAACATTGCGGTTACGCATTGTGCACAAAAATTCAACGCAAAAAGATGACAACTCTTGGAGGATAAGATCAACATTTGCGCGTGCGTAACTGTAGATAGTTTTCCTTGGCTGCCCAGGTTTATTTTTTAATGAATATTCACAGTAGAGAACATTATGATCACTAATAGATTCCAAAACACGGACAGTCATTTTTCCCGGCTCGGTAGTTAATACCAGATCCAAAATGGCATCGCCACGTGTGCATTCACAAACTATTTGTTGCAAATCAAATAAAGAAAGCACATCTAAAAATTCCTTGCATTCGTTCTTTCTTGTACCGCCCAGGGGTGTGTAGGATTGCCAATCAACCACAGGGTAATTAAAATCACCACCTAGAATAATTGGTGATGCTGGGTATTTGTCCTGGATAACGCTTGAAGAATCATTTAAATTTTCCACGAATTCTTGAGGGTAATCGGGTGGGCGGTAACACACCCCGACGGCACAAGTTACAGAAGGGCCCATTTCAGTCAGAACCCACAGAATTTCTGTATCGCAATTTCTATATGCACAGTAAGAAGGAAAAAAAAACTTTAGCAGAAAATTAATCACGTCAGGCATGGCCCTGTATCCCTAGGAATTGGCCGGAATTCCTTGAGACACAGCAACAGCAAGGGAAAAAAAAAAATTCAGCTCGCCGCGATGTTGCATTTTACACGGCCGCGCTTGCGCTGGGATCCGAGTGCCAACAAACTCCCTTAAATAATTAAGCTAGGTTCTATGTCCTTTGATCAATATGGTACGTTCAAGGGATGATAGTGTCCAGAAAAAAATAGTCTTGCCAACGTACCGATTAGCAATTCCTTGAGTGGCCACACAATAGGCACGTGAAAGTAGACGATCGGGTGTAGCATGTTGCTGCTATTGACAGCTCTGTCGCTGCTTATGCATTTGAGCGCAGGAAAGATTAATGTGGAAATGGCCGTGTCAATAGATTTCACAACTTCTTTCATTCCTTTGCAGCAGTATACGGAAGTTAATATACCTTGATAGAAATGACTACAAAACGCTCTTAGAAAAGCTATAGACGAATTCCACCGGACTTGCGTCACAAAATTGTGGTGGCGCTGTTGTAGGGCATTTCATTTCGCTTGGTAGGCAAAAGCCGCTGCACCCACCGCAGTTGCTGCTGTGGTTTTGCTGGTGTGTGCGCTGTTTGTGGCCATGCAAAGAAGAAATAATGGTGTACTGACGAGCTTCACGGGGATTCGCGCGGGAAGGCACAAGAAGTATGGGCCAAGGCTGTTTTTTGTTTGTTTTTTGTTGACTAAAACCGTCGCAGAACAGCCGGAGTAGTGAAGCGAGAATTAACTTGCCTTTGACGCCGCTTCATTGGTTGTGCTTTGGCACGGCTGACACAGAAAAAAAAGCGATTAGCTCTATCAGGCGTTTGAATAAGCCGTGGAATTACACGTTATTTAATAAGGTGGGGAGGTGTAATGAGCACATTTACCTCAAAGCACGTTAACGTTCTAGATAGCATTGCCAAATGCGAAGCATATTTCACGGTTGCCATTGTTGATATAACTGCAGAAGTCTTCAACACGTCAAAACGATATCGTCATACTTGTGTGACGGTGTCACTCGCTCATAGAGCAATGATCGATCATGTGTTTCTTTCTGCGTGGGTGCGGTTGATTAAAGTAGCAGCGAACAAAGGGATAACTTAGACTGTGTTTTTTCTGATTATATGCGGCTGCGAGGACACACCTAAACGCAGGTGTATCGGGCAGGGCTGCTCTGGCTGTGGAACGCTTCTATAGATTTTCACGTCTGTGCAATTTCGCAGAAAAGAATCACTCGGGAAACTTGCAGAGGCTGTCTACGACACATTTTGCGGCGTCGACTTGAGCGTAAGAATTGAGCCGCAGATATCCCAGGTACGTAACCGGATTGTCCACAGCATGTTGTTGAAGCATTATTGCAAGCGTGTTGCAGATGAAAGTGTCGCCAAGGTCGCCCTTGTCGTTTGCAAAAATAACTTCGGCACATCTCTTATATGCGAGGATTTACGGTTGTGATTCATGGCTACGTCTTTTTACAACACGTATTTGAATATTGTAGCCTATAGAGCCTATTGCTGAACTGGGTCTGTCCTTGCATTAGTACAAATTTAAATGTGCACGTGGGACGTAGGCTGCAGCACCAATGCCAATTCGCAAATTAGCTACATTTACGCGGTTAAGATACCTCATATGTTTTTATGAGGTTCTCAAAGCTAGAGCTACACGTCAACATAGCCCATATGTTCCTTTCAGAACCCTCCTACAGCCACTGCAACTTCCTCTGTTGCGGCCACCACTTGTGAACATGCAAGAGGCGTCCCGACGCGCTGTTCTCGAAGGCAGCTTGTGCACCTG